TCTCCTTAGCAACAAGCCCCGCCCCCTAGCAACCCCTTATATGGCAGTTCCTCTCCTTAGCAACAAGCCCCGCCCCCTAGCAACCCCTTATATGGCAGTGCCTCTCCTTAGCAACAAGCCCCGCCCCTTAGCAACCCCCTCAGGCGGGATCCATTTCCCCCCATTAAAATCCCGGTTTATTTTGGGGCATTTCGGCGGCGTTTTTGGGGGGAATTCTGGGGATTTGGGGTCACTCACGCGCTGAGGCGGGGCGTGGATGAGGGCCCGGTAGAAGCAGGTGGTTTGAGGATAAAGGGCCAGCACCAGCTGGTCCTTGTGGAAAAGCGCCTCGGGATCCGTCTCCGGGTTGGTTTTCCACTGCGGCAGGGGGATGATCCGGCGGCGGCTCAGGGTGTGGCGCCTGGGAATTCAGGAAGGTTTGAGGGGATTTGGGGAAAAAAAAAAAAAAAAAGGGGATTTTTGGGATGTTTCAGGGAGGTTTGAGGGGTTTTTTTTGGGATGTAGGGAGAGGTTTGGAGATTTTGGGGAATACTGTGAAAATCTGGAGAAGTTTGAGAGAATTTTGGGGGGAATTTGTGGAAATATTGGGAAAATATGTGGAGGTTGGGAGGCATTTGTAAAGATTGATGGGAATTTAAGCAGATTTTGGGGTACTTCGCGCAAAATTTTGGCAATTTCTTATTACTCACTCCTTCCCTTCCTCATCAATGTCGTCCACCTCATACCTGTGGGGAAACCCATGGAAATCCACAGCTGAAAACCCAAATTCTGAGGCAAAAAAAGGTGAATTTTGAGGCAAAAAAGCCAATTTTGGGTCTGAAGAAGTGAATTTTGGGGCGGTCACTCACTTGTTGGCAGCGTGGCTGTAGCTGACCACCTCGGCCAGGATCCACTGCTCGTCCCCTTCCAGGGCTTTGACCCTCGCGGCCACTTTGTCCCCGGGTTTGGCCACATAGTCGCCGGCGGCCGGCACGGCCCCGCACAGGGGAGGGGGTCTGGAGGGGTCAAGAGGTCACCCCCAAAATTCCCGACCCCAAAAACCCCGCTTGGTTCCACCACAAGATTCAAAAGTTTACCCCCCAAAATGGCGATTTTTTGCTGCAAAATGGGTGATCTTTACCCAAAACCCTCCTGGGTTTGACCCCAAAATCGATGCTTTCAGCACCAAACTACCCAATTTAGCCCCGAAATTGGGTGTTTTACCTTAAAATTGCCCATTTCCACCCCTAAATAATCCAACAAAGCCGCACCACCCTAAAATCCCCGTCTCCCCTCCAAATTCCCTGGTTTTTTTTCACCCAAATCACCATTTCCTTCCCCATAAATCCCCATCTTTTCCCCCCAGAACCCCTCTTTGCCCTCCCAAACCCTCGCTATTCCCTCAAATTCCCGCATTTCCCCCCGTTTTTCCTCACTTTTCCCCGGGCTTCCCGATCCACAGCGGCAGCGTCATGGCCGACTGCTGCAGCAGCGTCATCAGCACCCCTCTCCTCATCGTCTTCCTGGGCGGCTCCGCCTCGCTGTAAATCCCAGCGATTTTTGCCGCTGCGATGAAAACATTAATAAAACAAAACAAAACAAAAAAACACAAACTGAAAATCCCGAGGGGTTTTGGTGGAATTTTGAGGGGTTTTGAGGGGTTCGGGGCTTTTCCCGCCGTTTTTTTCCCGCCCTCCCGGCGTGAGGGGAGCGGCGCCGCAGCGCCCCCTGGCGGCCATACCGATGCGGCGCTCCTCCAGCAGCGATTTGATCTCGGCGATTTTATCCAAAGCTCTCCGGAGAACGCTAAAAGCGATAAAAGGCAGGAGGAAAAGATGAAAATCGGGAAAAGAGGTGGAGTTCGGGAGGCGGGGAGGGGAAACGTGGGGGATCTAAGGGAGGAATGGGGGGGAAAAATGGGGGTTTTGGGGGATAAAGGGAGGGAAGGGGGTGAAAAAATGGGATTTTTAAGGGAAAATTAGGGGGGAATTTTGAGGGGGAAAAGGGTAAGAGGAAAGAGCAAAAATTCGATGCAATGAAGAGGAAGTCGGGATGGGGGGGAAGGTGGGAATTTGAGGGGGGAAAGTGAGAATTGGAGGCCAATAAGCAGAAATTTGAGGGGAAAATCCAGAAATTTCAGGGGAAGAAGTGAAAATCTGAGGGGAAAAAGCATGAATTTGCAGGGGGAAAGTAGGAATGCGAGGAATGGGAAAGTTTTTTGGGATGTAAGTGGGAATTCCGGACTCACTTGCACTCGGCCTCGGCGTCGGCCTTGGCTGTGGTGTAGAGCCCGCGGAGCTTGGTGCGGTAATAGGGGGAAACTGGGGGGTCCCAGGAGGGTCAGGAGGTCCCAAAAACCCCCAAAATCCCCCCCAAATTCTCCCCCAAATCCCGGGATTTTTTACTTTTGTTCTCCGTCTGCATCCGCTCGTGCGTCTTCTGGATGTTCACCAGGTTGTGCTCGCTGCGGGAGCGCTCCTCCTGAGGGAGAAAGTGGGAAAGGGTTGGGAGAAAATCGGGAAAAAGGGAGGTAAAATTGGGAAAAAAAGGGGGAAATGAGAGAAAAAAGAGAAGGAGAAAGGGGAAAAATAATATAAAACAAAATCAGTGATAAAGGGGGATTTATAAGGAGAAAAACGAGGGATTTGGAGGGTTGGAGTTAATAAATGGGGATTTTTCAGAGGAAAAAAAAGGGACTTTTGGAGGGAAATTAGAAATTTTATGGGGATAATTGAAGATTTTGGGGGGAAATTGGGGGTTGGAGTTTCTAATAAAGATTTTTGTGGGGGAAAAAGGAGGATTTGAAGGGGAAAAAGAGCACGTTGTGAGGAATGAAGGGGATTTTGAGGGGAAAAAGAGGGAAAAACAGGGATTTGAGCCAATTAAGGGGGATTTGGGGTAGAAGTGGGTGATTTCGGAGCAGAAAAGTGCAATTTTAGGCTAAAATCCGTCAGTTTCAGAGTAAAATTTGTGACTTTGGGGTAAAAAAAAACATTTTGCAATAGGAATGGGCGTTTTTATGATAAAATAGGTGATTTTAGGGATGGATGGGCTCGATTTTTGGGTAAAATGGGCGGTTTGGGGGGAAGAAATGGGAGATTTTGTGAGGTTTGTGATGGGACACAGGATCTTGAGGGAAAACGAGATATTTGTGAGGCAAAATGCAAATTTGTGAGGGGAAATGAGGGGATAGCAAGAGGTCCGTGAGGGGAAAGAGGTCATTTGGGGTGAGATGGGTGATTTTTGGGATCCGTTAACGGAAGGAGATGATTTGGGGCGGGGGAAATGGGTGATTGTTGGGGTCTGTGAAGGGAAACGGAGGGGAAACGGCGGGATCGGTGAGGAGTAATGGGGGGAAAGCGGAGGAAACGGGGATCGAGGGAGGGAATGGAGGATCCTGAGGAGGAACAGGGAATCCGAACAGAAAATGGGAGATCCTTGAACCCCTAAACCCTGGGGAAATGCGGTACCTGCGTCTGTTTAATGAGCTGGTGCAGCTCCCCCAGCAGCTCCGCGATGCGCGAATCGGCCGAGACCAGCGCCATGACCGGAGACCCGATCGGGGCTGGGGGGGGCAAAATGGCGGCGGCTCCTGAGGGGGAGAGAAAGGGGCGGGGAAAAAATGGGCGGCGCCTCCTGAGGAGCGGCACAAACCACGCCCCCATAGCGCCATATATGGGCAAAGACACGCCTCCCTTCTTAATTTGGATTGAAGGGTTTATTTAGGTTTATTACCATGTTTATTTATGCACGGGGGGTTAAACCACGCCTACTATAAATCTTTATGTGGATTGGCCGCTTCCCAAGCCACGCCCCTTCGCTGCCTAATGTGGCTCTGCCACGCCTTAAGCCACGCCCCCAGCCGGGGGTCAGTCACGTGACGGCGGTGTCACGTGAGCAGCGCCCAAGATGGCGGACGAGGAGCCGCTGCTGCCGGCGGGTGAGAGCCAAAACAAATCGGGATTAAAACGGGAATAAAACCCGGGAATTCGGGATAAAAACCGGGATAAAAACCGGGATAAAAACCGGCAGTTAAAACCCGGATAAGGGGCCGGGAAGGGGAAGCGGGAGTGGGGATCGGGGCCCTAAGACGGGACCGGGAGCCACAAGCAACCCCGAATCTCCTCAGATTTCCCCGAAATGCCCCCAAAATTCCCGCTAAATGCCTCCCCTCCCCCACAGCCGAGGACTCCGCCCCTCCCCCACCGCCCCCGACCCCCTCCTGGCGAATCGGAGCCGCTTTTTGGTGAGTGCCCCGCCCATGCCCCGTTAGGCCCCGCCCCTGCACCAGACCACGCCCCTAAAGCCCCTCCCCCCACCCTAAAACACCCCAAATTTCCCGCCAAAACGGAGCCATTTTGGAGCCTCCCCTCCCCCGCGGCCCCGCCCATTTAAGCCACGCCTTGCTGAGTCACACCCACATTTGGCCACGCCCACCTCGAGACCACACCCGCCCAAGCTCCTCCCCATCCTCGAAACCCCCCCCCCCGAAACCCCCCCCCCCAGATTTCCCGCCAAAACGGCGTCATTTAAGCGCCAAATCTCCCGCCAAAACGGAGCCTTTTAGACCCTCCCCTCCCCCACAGCCACACCCACCCTCGGGCACGCCCACCCCGCCGGGCCACGCCCTTTAAGCCCCGCCCCCGCAGGATCCTGGGCCTGTGCAATAACCTCCCGTACGTGGTGATGCTGAGCGCCGCCCGCGACCTGCTGGAGCCACGCCCCGTGAGTGGCCACGCCCACTTCTTAAAGGGACCCCGCCTTCTTTCTCCGGAAGGCCACGCCCCTTCCCGGTTAGAAATTTCCGGAATTTGGGGGGGATTTTCTTTCTTTCCCGGGATTTCTTTTAGGGGGAGGAGCGGCGGAATCGGAGCCGGCACGACTGCGACCCCGTGGGGACCGGGGTGGGTGGGGCTTGAGGGGGCGGGGCCAAACTGGGTGGGGCCTGAGTGGGTGGGGCTTTGAAAGGTGACGGTTTAACGGGGTGTGGCTTAAAGGGCGGGGATTAAAGGGGTGGGGATTAAAGGATGGGGTTTAACAGGGTGTGGCTTAACAGGGTGGGGCTTAACAGGGTGGGGCTTAATGGGTGGGGATTAAAGGGGTGGGGGTTAA